TGTGTATAAGAGACAGTATATATATATATATATATATAGATAACATTTTGAAAGTTTTTTTTGTCTTTATTTTAGTTTAATTTTTATTAAACATTTTTGCAGAGCTTGAAGAGAACTTTTGCAGAAACCCAGATAATGCATCAGCGCCCTGGTGTTACTACCAATACGATGGCTTGATAAAGAGAGATTTCTGTAGGATTGATACGTGTAAGTCGTTTGTTAAGTCGTATTATTAATCGAGTTCACCCCTGGACAAAGGGCATTGGATAATACAATATATGCTGCAAGCATTTACCATAATTATGATAGGTAACTGCCTGTAGCACATAATATAGTAGTTTTCGCCGCACGACGAAAATATAATTAAAAAAAATAAACTCCCATTTACATGAATGTCGTTATTTCAATGATTGTTTATTCATTTGATAAAAAATTTTATGTATTAATATAAACATTTTACATGTTTTATTTTGCAGGTACATCCACCGCCCTGTCTCGGTTCACACGCCATCCAAACTCGTACATATCTAACCTTAACAATGTGTTCATACGGGATCCAGATATGACAGAAGAAATGTGTGCCGAAAAGTGCCTGGAAACTACTTCGTTTGTATGTCGATCGTTCGAGTACCGTTTCATTAGGCCTTGGGATGACAAGAAATGTGTATTATCAAACGAAAGTCTCTTCACAACAGGAATGCAGCACTCCCCTGCTCACTATCCTACAATTGATCTTTTTACAAGGAAAGAAACGAGTAAGGCCAAAAATTGTTTTCAATAATTTTGATACAACTGTTAAACGACTGTTGTACTTGTTCGTATTTTGTTTTGAAGATAGTCTTTCAGCATGACTGACCATGCCCGAACAGCTATGGTTTTCATTGTGCACCGTCGACCAGGCAGATAGCAAAAATTTGCGTATTGGGTCCGGGGTGGATATTAGCAGGGTTTTCTATCGGTGGTTTCATGATATGTAAAATCTAGGGAGCCAATTTTCTCCCCATTCCCATTGGTCCTATCACTGTTTCTCTCTCCGGCTTAGGTACCACGACTCTCCTATACAACATTGCTTTTGCTCTATCCATTAACGCCTGTGATTTTATTCTTACGTGTAATATGTTAAATCCAATTTGAAATTTTATTTTTGGATGAACATAAATAAAGTACATGAGCATAGTGGAAAACTGACATCCGTGGATAGCCAAAACGTTAAAAAAAAATCAAGTGGCTGTCTAAACAGAATACACAACAACACATCGAGTGATTTCGTAAGAATTAAACGAATAAAAACCAAACTGTCATCTCAAGTTGTCACCAAATTGCCTAGTCATTCTGTATTTAGGCTATTTATTTTTTATATTAATTTATATAGGCCTACCTGTCAGTCAATCAATAGACCCTGTCACGCGTGGTCGTAGAATAGAACTTTGAATTAATCATTTTAAAAAATCACTACACAACCGTGCCGATCGAAACCAGTATCGATGACGTATGGTCGACCGAACCGATAGATATCACGGGTACGGTTGGCCCAGTCTCTTTTCTGATATCACTGGTCCACGCTCTTATCATTTAAAATATATCTTTTTTTAAAAAATCATTATCATGTTGAATTCCCTGTTGAATAAGCAGGCAATCTGTGATTGGCTGCATGTACAAAAAGGCGGTCTATTCAGATAAAAATAACGCTAACGTAATTGTGCACGTCCAACAACAGGTTGTGGCATTGCAGATTTTATTTAATATTTTTACAAAATCAGGGAACAGTTAAATTACTATTTAATTGTTTTCTGACAAAATAGATTACGATTTTTACGTTTTGAGAAATAATTGCGTTTGAAGTGGACACATATGTTTAAAGATAAAGCATTAAAAAATCCAAATGTGTAATTTATTTTTTTTTTCTTAACTTTAATAAACCTGTTAATTAGCGTGAAATGTTTGTGTCAGTTCGTGAAAACCATCAGAATACAGCATAATGTTATTTACACGTAGAGTGAAGTTTGTGTCTCTTCGTGAAAACGGTACGCGCTGTACGAGCACCCGTTGTTAAGGCACAAACTTGCACAAACTGTATTTTTAGCTATGTGTTAACCATTGTAGTCAAGGGCAAAAACAGGCCTACAATCTTGGCTTATCCTGCTTTAATCATTATGTTTTTACAAATAATTCCACATATGCACGTGTATAGACCTATCCCAAGTTACACTGCAAAAAGCGTACCGGTATGCCTAGGTAAGCTAGGGAAATCTAATTTTTACATCTAGCCCTAACCAAGCTAGGCCTTACCTAGCGATCAAACGATTGCAACGCCGCACGCGCATCATTTAATAACCCAATGAATGTTTGTGTCTGTTCGTGAAAACGAAAAATCCATTTTCTCGGTTTGTGCGCAACAGCAAATTAGCTTAATTAGCTAATAGTGTAGTTCCACTCTTAAAAATTTGATGAAAAGTTGAAGTTAAATAGGCTAATCAAAATGTCAAAGAAAAAAAATATGATTTTTGAAGTTTGTGTCACTTCGTGAAAACGGTGACGACTGGTTGAGAAGTTATTTTTTATCAGTGGAGGATCTAGGGGTGCGGAGGAGCCCACCTACCCATTCGTCCCCCTAAAAATCACGCTTAAGTAGTTAAAAATCACCTCAAATCTCCTTATTTTGCGCGCTAGTTCCCCCACCCCATATCATCGAGCCCCACCCTTATTCATCATTATATATCATCGGGTTGGCACCTGTCAATTGTGCGCTCTTTGGGAACATTCCTACAACAATGGTACCTGTAGTTACATCATTTGATATACTTTACCATTAAAGTTAAAATGTGATCCATTGATGCTTTTTTCAGACTTTTTTCAGGTAATAATAAGTATATAACCTTAGAAGTATCGTTATTAACGCAATACATCATACAGACCATTATCATTTAAAATATTACTGAATATATATTTTTTTTAAAATACTGTATAGAGACGTTATAACCATTATTGAATTTGTAATTATAGTATGCGATGCTTATGAGGACAAACGACGATTATATCCAGGTAAGTTTAAAGTGATTATATCCAGTGTTATTTATAAAATTTCGAATCCTCTTGTACATAATTCTACAATCTTCACAAAAATAATACAATTAATTGTTTAAAGACGCGCTGTCAGTTTTGAGAAAGAAATCAATGATAAGTTAATAGCTTTATATTGAAAATTAGAATGATCAAAAATATCTGGCCTTTTATTGGACACATACAAACTATCAATACGGTAATATTTCGCATTAGACCTTCAAATTAGTAATCAATTTTAAAGATTTTCATATTAAGAAGCATGTATATCATCAATCTGTAGGTTATAAATCCTTTTATGTAACATTTTTATTGTTTATTTCAAAATATTGAAGATTTCTTTTTCTTTATATACGGTATTTTATGAAAGACAGGATATCTTCAACTGAGTTAGCATTGTCATAATTTAGTTTCGTCATAAATTAAAACATAATCATGCCTACGGTTATTTGATGGATAACTTTGGTTTTAAAAGGAAAAGCAAGCGAAACATGTATACTTAAATTGTTGCACCTTAAAGAGTATGAAATTCAACGAAAGATATAAATAACAATAAGGTTTTACCTTTCAATTACGAAATCTAGATAAATGGCCACCAATAATTTATGATTATACTATGATATGTCGAGACGGATTGAAAGGAATACATCCATGTTGGAAATGTTAGCTTGGAGATAATTTTTTGAATTTAATTAAGTAGTAGGATTACTCCTTCAGAAATGACAATGATAATATTACGGTATATTTATAATGATAATAATAATTAATACGGTATATACTCAAGAATAATAATGATTTATCGTAACTATTATAAGCAACTACAGTAATAATAATAAATTAATTACTTACTTGTTAGTTGTTTTGTTGGCCGGCCTTTGTCTTGAGGACATCAGGCCGTCATTGACTGATATCAGTTGACATATTCACTGCTTTTTACAGAGAGAGACCAGCAAATTCTGTGTTATAATGCTTTGTATTGTCAGCAAAAGTATATTTATTTAATTATAGTTATTATTATCAGAAGCTGATATGAATTTTCTTTATTATTATTATTATTATTATTATTATTATGCGATTATTATTATTATTATTATTTTCAAAAACAACACAACAGATCGTATCTTCATCATAGGCAAAGCCTATGATTAATCCAATATATTAAGGCCTTAATGGCCCCAACAAGACATGTTTCGGCAGTCTACTACCATCATCAGTTATCTTATTGCACGCAAGCAATTATTATTATTATTTATTTATTATAATTATTATTATTATTATTATTATTATTATTATTATTATTATTATTATTATTTAATTAACCTGTAACTCAAGGCGGGACCATTGCAGGTACATTCCTTCTGGGTCAGAGGGATATTTATATTAGGCATAATAGTAATATAACTAATACTATTTTACCAATGTATACAGTCATCATAACAGAATAGTTTAATAATCGAAGAAAGAACACTTCAATCACGAAAAAGTACAATATTTGATTTATGATAAATTACATTATGAACCGTAGTTTAAAATATATATTTAAATAATAATATTTAACCGACGGGCTTCAACAATGCATTAGATAGACATTTAGCAAAATGACACAGCAAAGCTAATCGCTTATCTCTACCTCTTTACCTCGTACCATCAAGAAGTAGGCCTAAACAACATGCCCATTAACAAACCCATTGAAGTAAATGAACTTAAATTTAAAAACCAGTCATTATACAAATCAGAAAGCTTTAGCTTATAACATAGGACATTGCAAACGATGATGCAGAGATAACGATTATTTATGCCTGAAGTCAAGGTACTTTAGAAATTAGTAACATTATGGAATATAAACAGTGCACTGTTGGAATATATATTTTTTGCTTGTCTCTGACCTTTGTACACCATAATTCAAAGAGGACAATAGTACACTTTTGTAAATAAACTTTATATGGTTAATTCTATTAAAAGGCGAATTAAAATATTAAAATAAACCTATTAAAAATAAATGATTTAACCATAAAATTAAAAACAAATTATTATTATTATCATTATTATTATTATTGTTAGTATTATTATTATTATTATTATTATTATTATTATTATTATTATTATTATTATTATTGTTGTTGTTGTTTTTATTTTTTTTATTTCCAATAATATCTACAAATCACGGTATAGACTGTTGCTTGTGATTCAAAATTGCATATATAACATTTCAAAACAGGAAGACGAGAAGAAAAAAGACAATAAAAAACAAAATATGGGTTGATAATAAATAGCAAAATGTGATGTTTTAATGTATTTTAGATGAGTGTCCACTACCACTTGGATTAGAAACTGGAGTTGTATCGGACAGTCAATTAAGTGCGTCGAGTAGTTATGATGAAAACCACCAACCAGCAAATGCGAGACTCAATGATGCATCAGGATGGATGGCCAACGACACTGAAAGCGGACACTGGATTCAAGTAAGCGAATACCAACATATAAAGTTATAGTGATTCTACGGATATAGAATATTGTTCCGGTGCAAAGTTGCGAGCACCAATTAATTGGAGCTTTTGATTTGCGAGGCGACGTCAATTTAGAATGGATTTACTCAACCGTGACCGTCCTGCGTACCGTCAACGTAGATTTGTGCCAAAGCGCGTCCTAAAATTCAGACAACAAAATAATTATTAACGTCCACGCATGCGCAGGTGATTATGTGGCGTATTGCATTTTTAATTTTAAGCTTCTCTATTATTTATTTTAGGTGTCGTTCAGAAAACGTATGAAGATCACTGGAATCCTTACACAGGGCGGCGGTGATGCGTATGGCTGGATTGAGAAGTTTATGATTCGCTATAGCCTTAACGGAAAGAATTGGTGGAATGTTAAGTTATATAAGTCAAGAAACGGTGAATTTGGAAATCTTCAAGATCAGGTTTGTTTACCAATTATTGAGATTTACCATTTATTTAACATTTTAATTGCACACGATGCAAAATGGCTGATTATTTTACTTTAAAGTTGTTCTATTTTCACAAACCATAATTCTTTTTTCAATTTAAAATTCATAAAACTTATACCGGTACTTTTCAAATATTTTCTGTTTCTTTTTTCCGTTTGTACACTCACCTAAGCCAACGAAAACTGTTTTATTTTTGTTTAATTGTTTTTAATTTATTTTATATTGCATATGTCTTTATTTTACATTTTTTTAAAAATAATTAAAACAATGATGTGTTTAACGTACCTTGGTAGAACTTTACAGCTAATGGAGAACCTGATTGTCTGGCGAAGACTTTTTTCGAGCCCCCAATTTGGGCGAATTATATTCGACTTTACCCTCTTCAGTGGTTCAAGCACATCGCCTTGCGGTTAGAGCTCATTGGTTGTATCGACGATGGTAAAGTATTTATGTTGAATAGTACCAGTAACATAGGTCTATATTATTTATAAATGTACAATCTCTTCTGTGAATATGATGTCTTTTCCGTTCAAATGTATGAATTAATGCAGACATTGTTGACCTATGTTCCAAGTAAGTGCTTGAGAACTATGGTTGTCCTATACTTTCTAACTTTCCTAAATTACTCTTACAGTTTATAAGTTGCATATCATTTAGAATATATATATATATATATATATATATATATATATATATATATTGTATATAATATATATAAATCTATAAACAATAATGCTATAATTCTATGAAGGCCTCAACCGGGATTTGAACCCGGGACCTTCTGCTGTTCATGCAGACGCCTTAACCAAATGGGAATTCAAATCCAAAGCATCACTCCTGCACATGCGTAATAAGACAGCACTAGACCTTGATGCATGGCATATAACAGAGATACATTTATTTCTCTTACTGTATACAATTTAGCTTGTAACAGCCCCCTTGGACTAATAAATGGACATATAAAAGATAGTCAAATACTAGCGTCGAGTACACTTAATACGGAAAACAACGGGCCAGCTGCTCGACTGAAGCCATATGGCCGGTCAGGCAATGGATGGATACCAGCACTGAATGACCGTCAGTGGATTAGGGTAGGCCTACATCGATAATGTCGAGTCAAATACATTTTCTTGGTAGAGGTAGTGCAAAGGTCACTAGAAATAATAACGTACTTTCAGTAATAGTGCAGATATATTTTTTGATTTCCATGACATTTATTGATTTCATGTGAAAAATTAAAAGCTTGGAGTTTGTCTTGCATACTTGTCTTGCATTACCACAATGTTGAAGAAACCATGGGTCAATATACCTAACTAAAATTTTTTGTCGTCGGGGAAATCAGCCCACCTGTTGGGGACTTCCCGTCCGGAAAATCCTGGCGCCACCTCTGCTTACACACAAGATATACCTATGTCAGGTCCAAGGTGTATATAAATAATTGTATGACTATTATGATTTTTAGGTCGAGTTACACGAAAAGTATACTGTCACAGCAATAGCAACGCAGGGATGTGAGAAAACCTACCAATGGGTGACTAGTTACCAACTTAGTTGTAGGGCAAACGGAGGATGGATTCCATATCGAGAAACTAACGGAGCACTGAAGGTAAGAAAACATTACCGGTGTGAAATGCTAACCTGGTATGTTCTAATGTTAAATTGCTAGAAATTTGACAAGCTCCAGTGTTAAACTGATCAGTATAGTATACCATTTTAGATACCATTGTTAGTCATCAATACAATAAAAAAAAATTACCATATTTTCTTTAACAACACAGGAATTTCAGGCAAACACGGATCCAAGACACATTAAAGTGAATGTATTGATCCCGAATATTCAAGGACATCAAGTGAAAATCATACCGACTACATGGACTGGCGGTGTCTGTCTGAAGCTAGAACTCATTGGATGCCCTTATTCTTGTAAGTATCTGGAGTTCCGACATTTTGCAACTCTGTATCAATTTAGATAAAATAACATAATATATCACAAATTTACATAAAATTTTATGTGACAAAGAAAATGTGATATGCCCATATATGGGCATAATGCCGTCATATCACATAATTTCAAGTTGTATAAAAACATGTTGAATGTGTTCAACATATTTTGATGTCGTCTGTCAAAAAGTTGTCAATTTTTTTTTAAACACCTTAACACTAATATAAGCAAACACTACAAATCACATCAATCGGATTTGATAATTCAGTTTCATCAAAATACATTACAATTTTTGAGGTAGTTTGATGTATTTTGATGATATTGTTCTATCAAATTTTATGTTACGCTTTTTTAAATGAATTTTGATAGTGTAGACAAAGCTTTAAAATAACAGACTTGTTTTGATAAAGCCGTCATTATACTCTCTTTTAAATGATGTTAGAATTTCTTTGATCAATATACCGTTTCAAACAGTATTGACTCTGTCACACAAATATTTACAATCTATTTCTATATTTGTAACACAATACTGTAAAACGATCCATCCAAGGTTGTAACACACTATGATAGGTGTCACAATGTGTGTTTAGATGGTGGATAAATTGTCATTTGATTAGTTTAACTTTGGCGGACGATTACACTTTTCGCATGTTTTATGCAAATCTGATATCAACTGCTCTCAACTCATTGTTTTCAAAAAGTGTTTTATCACAATGGACAATATGTTTCTAATTCTTAAGTCATAAGCTGTATTTTTTTTGTTTGTTTATTTACTTACTTTGTAATGCCCCAATATCAGCATTCACTCTTAGCATGTTTCTGAATATTTGAGGAAGAAATCTGTTTTTAATTATTATTACTGATGTTTATATGTTATTGTTATCGGAGGAATCTGTTTATATTTCTTATTATTAATGTTTATATGTCAATTGCTGTACTCTGTGATTGTGTCTTTTGTCATTATTAAAACTGACACATAAAAGTACAACTAATAATATTAAAATCATACACTTTTATTTTCTAGTATGCAATAGACGACTTGGGATTGAATCTGGTGAAGTTGCAGATGCGCAAATGACAGCGTCGTCAAACTATTATTACTTGCCACCTTCTCATGCCCGTTTGCATTATGAAACGTGGACAGGTAGCCAAAGTAATCGCTTTCGATCGTGTTGGGAGCCTCGCTACCAAGAACCCAACCAGTGGCTACAGGTAGCTGGTAATGGTGGTGATGGTGATGATGATGGTGATGATGATTATAGTGATGGTGGTAATGACGATGGTGATGATACATACTTACTGTAACCATTACAATATATTGTATTACATATAGGTTGATTTGCTTGAGTTGCATACCATTACTGGCGTAGTAACGCAAGGTAGTGGCGACGACCACGACTTGTCCTGGATTTACAGGTATACAGTGCAGTACCTGAGCAGATATAAGCCGGATGTTTGGAATTATTACAGAACGCTTGATGGTGCAATAAAGGTATTCCACTTGTCCTTGAGTAACTCAACAGCAAAATATTTTTCTTTCTCTTGCTCTATTTCCTTTTATTATTCTTTCTATAGCATTTCTCAAAAACAGTTGACCCCAGAAGTCCAATCAGTTCAGTCCAGTAGTAGCAAAGAGTATAAAACTGCAAGAGATCCGACTGCCGGGGATTCTTTGGAACGCAATCCTATTTCAAAAAGTACTACCCAAAAGGGGCGTGGCCTTTAAAAGATCGTAAAGTGCGTTCATATCGAACGCGTGCTGCGCGTATATAGAATGTATGCTGGAATTCGAAACGCAGCACGCGTTCGATACGGACGCCTTTTACGTTCTTATGAAGGACACGCCTCTTCGTAGGAGTACTTTTTAACGTTCCACTGCCTGTATACAAAATAAGGGCAGTCGAACCTCTTGTAGTTTTAAACTCTTTGGTAGTAGTCTCCCCTATGGACAGGTCCGCGGATCCTATTTTCCGCCATCTTTCTATCCTCTGCTATCCGTTATCTCCACATATCGAGAATCCAAATTTGTCTTCTGCTTCTTGGTCTCTTTGCCTCCATCTTGCCTACTATTACATGCTTCAATAATTCAGGAGTCTTCAGTATGTGACCAATCCAGCTCAGTTTCATCACAATTACAGACACATAAACATTCAATTCAATATAAAGTTTATTTCCACATCATCAATACAAAATACATAGACGGAGAAATACATAAGAAAAAAAAATTGATAAGAATGTAGGCCCATCAGAACATTTAAATAAAGTGGAAAAAGGGTGGCCACAGCAAGCAAGCTTTATGACGGGCGCCCATTGATTATGAAATAAAATTAACAACGATATCACAAAAAAATAAATTTTATAAATAAAGTAACAAGTCAATAGTCATTGAAAATTCTGAAGAAAAGTTAAATATGATTACATACAGCACAATTATTTACACATAGGTTTGCATTACATTTATAGTTTTCATAGTAATGGTTATTTAAATTTCTTTTGAATTTATAAATACTATAGTACTGAGTCTTAATTGTACATTGATATCGTTCCAGATTTTAGGCCCTATATTTGTTAAGCCCTTTTGTCCCATATTTGTGTTCTTTTTTGTTATACACAAGTTATCTTTATTTCTTGTACCATATATGTGTACATAGCCATAAATCTGAAAAGAACTATTAAAAGACACTGGTACTTGTCCCATGAAGTACTTATACATAAATTTTGAAATATTCTTCTTATAAATGTCATACACTGTGAGAGAATTTGTTCTCATGAATAAAGGCAAGGATGAATGCTGATAATGGGTGTTGCATACAATTCTTAATGCTTTTTTTTTTAAAGATATGTGTGATGTGAAACAGTATGCAAATGAAGCAGATAAAAACAGAGGAATCATGACTTGCCTCTTTCTAATATGCGTCATTGCAAAGACATATTACGCAAAGTTAATAATTTTACTATTTTTTCCCAACTTGGTGCTTTCTTCTTATTTCAGAAATTTCAATCGTTTGCGGATAACAATACACCGTTACAGCATTCCTTAGAGCGTCCGTTCGTAACACAAAAGATTCGAATTGGTCCAACGGTATGGGAGGGCTATGGCCCTTGTCTTCGACTTGAACTAATAGGCTGCCGATTACGTGGTAGGACTGTAATAAAGTGCATTATGTATTTACTATTATTTTATATTTCGAGTTAAACCTGGTTATAGGAATACAACAAAAGTAACGTATTGTATATAAGTTAGTCATCATTGATGGACTTAAGGATTATAATAACGATACCAAAAAGATTGATAATGGAACTTTCCAAAAATAAACCCCGCCCCTTGGATATTGTTGCTAAGGTCCCACATAACGACATACGCAAACACTTGCGTTTGTGAGACAACGCGTGAGCTTCTTAGACACGCGCTTATTCCTGGCCCTGTTCTCATTGGTCAGTTATTAAGTTTGATTGACACTCTGGAAAAGTCCATTTAATTACAGTGCATGCCAGGTTTCTGACATCAAGACTGGATGTGCTCCCGGCTTCAGCGACACCAAAGACACGTATACAGACATTGTAACATTATCATGCATTATAAATAAGTACACCCACTAGTACGCAATTACAATTAAACTTGTGTACTTAAGTGAAAGATATTAATGAATTATTTATTATGTGATTTTTTTTTTAAAGTGAATTCAACATTTACCACCTTTAATTTAATTTATGGAAAGCTTCTAAACCTAATAACAATTACATTTTGTTTTGTAATGTTGTTATTGCCTTTCATTACGTACATAATGTAATAACCTTGGCATGCACCGTATGCTGTTTCAGGCAATCCGAACCCATTCAAACACATTTTCCTCATTTGCATACAAATTATAAACGTCATGAGTTCTGTTATTTTAGTAATAATTCATACCGTTAAAATTTCGTCATATAAATAGATCGATTGATTGATAATGGATTTTTTGAAGCTGCTAAAGTTACAACGAGGTCAAAACTCATTCAACATGTGCTTCACCTCTTTAGCAATCCTATCAACTATAATAGACCACCCTTTTGAAGTGTCAATCAAACTTAAAAACTGACTAATCAGAACAGCGCCAGAAATACGCGCGCGTCTCACAAACGCACGTGCTGTCTAACAATTTTTTTAATATTTTAACACTGTCGTTTTGTGGGAACTAAACATCAATATCCAAGGGCCCGGGGCTTAGCGGAAAGCTCGAGTTGTATCTCGTGTTATATCGTTTTGTCCTGTTTTATGCATGTCAGGTTATTAAAACTATATGTATAGCCTAGTTGTAGTGTGGTATACAGTGTATTTTACAAACGAGACGAATTAAATATACAATAATATTTTCAGAAACTGGAGAGATATGCGGTGGAACAAGAGTTAGATTTAAGGGACAATGCATAGGAGCAGTTTCTAGCCTGTCTCTTATACACATCTAGATGTGTATAAGAGACAGCTTGTGTATATATATACACTTATATATCCACATATATATACATATATATCTACATATATATATACGTATATATAATCATATATACATATATATATATACACATATATGTATACATATAAATTAGATTTATACAATAATAATTGTCAAATATTTAGTGTCTTCCCTTCACCTTATGAAATCTTTGAATATTCCCCCATACAAGAGTACATAAAGTACCATAATCTTTTTTATTATTAACCAAAAGTGACAATATTCGGCAATTCATTTAAATGTTATACGGTGAATGGTCCATTAAAGCACAGATCCTCATATACAGAAAAACAACAATCATAATGGTTTTACATCGCAATTACAGTATACGGTCATACGGTTCATCGTACTTTTTATTGGTTCGGAGACACACTTCTAATGAAATGTAGCGCCCTCATATGATTAACAGGTTCTAATTTTCAGGAAGCAGTCATTTGTCATGTACATTAATTTGTATCTTCAAGGTTATTTATTTTCGTAATTGAAGACATTTTGTATTAATTCAATTTGATTTAAAAGGGGAAAAAATCAAAATGACCTTGTTCAACCTGCAACAAACTTGTCAAAATATAAAATTTTTTTTAATCACGTTTGCTTTATTCCCAGAAATTTCAGACATAAAATGTCAGGATATTTTCAGAGATGAAGACCAATTCATAGAATCAAGAACGACATCAGGAATGTTCAGCTTCTTTGGATATCCACCATTCTATGATGCCGGCACTTTCTGTCATTTTCGCATTATTGTCAGGAGGGGCAATCATATCAAGTAAGCATAAGTATAAGTAACAGTATACCTGCTCTCGGTATGTTCCAATTCCGTTCATCCCTCTTGTATAATTTATCTCTAATATTTTCTTGCTGTACGTTTATTGTGAGCGTAATGTCCAAGTAAATTCAGCCTGTCTGTCCTCAGGCTACATGCATACATTCATATAGGGTCTACACACATACATACATGTGTGTATATATTTATATGATAATTATTATCTTTATTTATTACCAGTAGAGGTGTATCTCCATACCATGGAAAGTTACTATAACTTATGTATTAAAAAAGGTTTTTAATGTTGCCAAAATCATTACATTACCTTGGCAACACTTAACACCTCTCCAGAATTTGTAATACAATTCTTGATGGTAATGGCACCGAAGCAATTTTTCGGGGGAACATTTTCTTCCTCATGAAACCACTCGATAATAGCACAAACCCTAATAAACAAGCAGCATAAAGGTTTGATTGCATTAGGAAAGAAAAGGAGTAAAGGTGATAAAGGGACATAGATGCCTTTGAAGTTCCGACGAAAGCTCTGTCGTCAAGTTTTAGTTAAAGTGTTTAACATTTCTTGTACAATTCTAAACAAAGCATTCGTTCATCAAAACAGTTTACTTAATTTCTTTCCCTGAAGGTTTACTCTGATTTGGTCGAATCTTCGACAAGATGCTGAAACGTTGCAATGTATTGATAAGTTGATCGTCACCGATCGACACCCAGCCATGGGTGTTATCGAGCGCGGTATAATATGTGGTGTACAGAACGATTTCAATGCTATATCCCTGACCAATCAAATAGATTTTAAGGTTGAAATACATGAACTGACACCAGATATGCCAAGTAGCATTAGTTTTGTAATTTCGTACCAGGAAATGGGTAAGTAAAGCAGCTCTAACATAAAAAAAATATCTTGTTATGGATTTCACCCCGTAGGATCATCCTTACACGGAAAACATGTTTAAACGCAAATATTTTAGACCAAGTTTGCCTATTTTTTTTTTCAGAGACACAAACAGAAACATTAGATGTCATAACAATTCCTATACCATCAATAATCTTTAAAATATAAATAATAATAACAACCAAAAAACGACGTCAATTACAACAATAATAATTAAAAGAATATAAAACCCAATACTATTACTAATAATTACATGAGAGGCCGATACAGTCCTGTTATTATTACCAACCGGACCAAAGCAACGCAAAGAAGGCCTAATGCGCACTATTTTGTTCTTGTGTGAAGAGCGTCTGTGAATGCGCGACGTAAATTTAACAATTGGATAGCTCCTTGCTTTGATATAGTTTGTTTTACTTATTCATTTTGGTGTATACTTACACCATGGATCAGTACTTTAAAGATACGAAACGATAATTTAATTGTTTAAGTAGCAAACTTTACAGCTAAACATAATGGAACATTAACCAAGTATCTTAAAAGAGTAGTGGACAACAGAAACATGTCTGTTTTGCGGCCGTAAAGTTAATAGTACATGGGATTCGCCTGTTTTTTAAAGATAAAAGCTGTTGTGTGTTTTTAACTGAAAAATCCACATGTTGTCTGCTGCTACATCAATCTTCAATATTATCTTCAAAACACTGTGTTTTACGGTATGATTTCGGCAAATTACGCGAAACAGAATGGTAAGGTGTTATAACTACTTCATACTTTTCCCTTCTTTATTATCAGAGGGTTCAGAGGACCTCGAGGAAGAGTGTACGGACATTGCGATTTACACAAATTCGTCAGGAACTGTAGAATCCCCAAACTTTCCAAGCAAACTCAATCCATTCAGCTTCTGTATTTATAAAATTCAAGCGAGCCCAGGAAAATTCATAATACTCAACTTTACTGATTTTCTGATACCAAAAAATGCTTACAGCGGATCATGCATTAATTTCATCTCCATTTTTGAGTGTGATGGAAGTAGTCATCTACTGATACGTCACTGTGGAGATGACCCACCATTGTTGATATCGAACTGTTCTTGTATTGTGATTTTTTATCATACTGGGCTAAACGTCGACAGTTACGGATTTTCTGCCATGTACAATGAAGTTGGTAAGAATTTCATAATTACTGTATTATAGAATGGTCTATAACATAATAATAATAATAATAAAAATAATAATAATAATAATAATAATAATAATAATAATAATAATAATAATAATAATAATAATAATAATAATAATAATAATAATGTTACACTTGTATAGCGCATAATGCAAGAAAAAGCTTCTATGCGCTTAACACCATAAAAATAAATAAATAAAATAAAATATAATATATTAAAAAACAAAAATAGAATAAAGGCACAACAAAAGGAAAATGCTGAATCTGTGAGCGGTCACCGTCCGCCATCACACTAGCGCAATCACGAACCCCTACCTGAGTGGTTATAATATTATAATCGTCGGTCCCACAATATGGTGGGTGACATATTTAATTAAATCTGGTTTTCATTCAATGTTTAAGTAACGCTGTCATTTTATACTTATTAATTATTTATATCATCTTCAATTCAAAATCAGAGATTAACTACTGTTTCAGATATCCCTGGTTGTGGTTTCTCTGGCGACTCAGTCAACCACATATGCAACGCACCGGCCGCTTATATATCAACACCAAATTACCCACATGGTTACCACAACGGTGCTCGATGTTCCTGGTTGATAACTACGCCTCCTGGAACTTTTATTAATCTTACATTTGTTACGTTTGATGTTGAAGGAGACGCCTCATGTTCAACTGATTACATCAAAGTATTCGATGGAGATTCAATTGAAAGTAAATTACTACATACGTTGTGCAATGCACATCCTCCAACTTACAAAATTCTAAGCAGTTTCAACAAAGCTTTCCTCGTATTTTCTTCGGATACTAGAATAAGTGGAGACGGATTTTTGGTAGAATACCATTCGCATTATTTCACAGCACATACACCTATATATTTTTCATCTAATATCAATACAGGTGAGAGTGTTATGCAATGATTTCTTTAACATACATTTAGAGGCATCATCATTTGAATGACGTACGTTACTGTATGTTTTAAGACAAATTAATAAGTACTGTAATAATATTATTTGCTTATATTCTCCTACCATCTCGTGCTTAAACTTTAGATGAGTACCATACATTTATATTATTGTCTTTTACCTCCAAAGGTACACACACCGTTTTGGTGTTTTAACTTTAGATTTATACAAAATATGTATATTTTAGGTGATAAACGCTTAGTACTTTTTATGAATGTTTGCTAATACTCATCAAAACGATGTTTGGTGTATAGAAATAAGCTTACAGGCCTACCACACTTCCACGTGTTCTGTCACACTTTCTCACTTTAATTCATAATATCTTGATATATATTTGCATTATTTTAAGATGTAAGGTGCCCACAAAGCTGGGACATTTTTAATGGCAATTGCTACCGTATGTTCAATGAAAAAAGACAGCTAACATGGTTTGAAGCGGAACTGGCGTGCCGTACCAATAAATCATTTTTAGTTAGCATACAATCAGCACAAGAAATGGATTATCTCCACACAAAGATAACAACTAACTGGACTGCTAATTTTTCATACACGGAAGACGGTATCTATATTGGTGAGCTTATATACCAACCTAACTTGCCTAAAATTACCTGTGGTAGAATTTCATGAATTCCGATTTTCTACATTCTCGCATATAAACTAACTGATAGAGTACAATCCGAGTTTTGAATATATTATTTTCCACAACTAAAACAGACACTAAATGCAAAGATTATGTTTGTTTAGATAACAAAAAAGTTCAACTCAGAGAGGGAGGAAGAAAGAGGGGCGAGGAAGGAAGATCAGAGAGGTAGTGACAGAGATTGACCTGAAAGGGGGACTAGATTCTCGACCATAGGCCCAATAACACATCTTTTAGGAACGATGAAAAAAAATAACTTGGGGATAATATTAACATGCAACAGATTTGAATGAGAACATTTATCATTCCATTCTACTCCTTCACAATCATTTTTGTGTCAAAGCCTATTATGGTTCGGTTTATCAAACTATACAATCAGTTTAAGATATCTTCTTTTTAATGTATGTCAGTGTTATTCAAATCAACCAAATGATATATGCATATAATAATAATAATAATAATAATAATAATAATAATAATAATAATAATAATAATATAATATAATATAATATAAATGCATACTTTATGTACCGACAATTACTACATTTTCCTGTAGTATCTTTAGGGGCTTCAAGATATCAAACAGTTTAAGATATCTTCCTTTTAATGTATGTCAGTGTTATTCAAATCAACCAAATGATATATGCATATAATAATAATTAATAATAATAATATAATAATAATAATAATAATAATAATAATAATAATAATAATAATAATAATAATAATAATAATAATAATAATAATAATAATAATAATAATAATAATAATAATAATAATAATATAATATAAATGCATACTTATGTACCGACAATTACTACATTATCCTGTAGTATCTCCAGGGGCTCGTGGTTTTGGAAATTTTGGTGACGTTAGTCAATGACTCTTCATTGTTTTCTTATATTTTATAAATTTACTTGTTTTTGAATACGAAAATAGGCCTGACAGACGAGATCGCTGAAGGTCGTTTTGTTTGGACAGACGGCAGCCCTTTATCCTATACTGACTGGTCAAGAAAGTATAGGTTTGTAGTTTTTCTGTTCACTCTATCGTCCCAACCAAAGCGTTTTCAATACATAGGCGGCGGCCTGGTTTGAAAGTTAGGTGGGCCAGATAAGCATTCTGTACAGAAACTGAGGCTCCCGATTTGGGTCCAGCGACTGAAGTCTCCCAGAAATTTAGCGTGTTTACGTTCTGAGAGATTAAATTGTTGATATTTAAAAAATAAGTAATATCCTATAATACTTTCCAACCCAAATCACCAACCACAACAAGATAAACAACATGATTCCCCATCGACCTGTTGTTTTCTAAAATCATTATTCAAATAGTTTTGGACAATTATTGGTGGGATGGCACCAGTGGTGGCACCAGCGAGGGAGGGGGGCAGCAGGGGCTTAATTCCGCCACCAGATAGGTCAAGCCCTCCCCCCCCCCACCACCACTAGACAGAGCTCGTCGGGCAGTCAGAGTAAAAAAGATATAAAAATAGGCCCACGCCAAGCCAACACATGTCTGTCACAGTCTGAGAGTGTCATTTCTGGTCATCCAGAGGTTCCTATTTTTTAAAAAATATCTCATTTAGGAGAGGGAACCCCTCTCTCGAACCTTTCCCCCAGCTCAGGCCTACAAGCTCAAGTCCCCCTGTTGGGCAGCTCAGCCACTTTTAAAATACAAATTAATTTATTGATAAGTTTTTTTTGGAGGATGGACTGTACTGCAAGCCTAGGCTACATAATTGCATATTGATTAAAAAAAAATAATTGTTTTTATTAACGTTTTCAAAGCTCCGAATGGACAAACAGCCAACCAGATGGATTCACGTCAGAGAATTGCGGACTTATCATGATAGCGAATATACATTCAACCAACCATTGGCACGATGTCCCATGCGCTAGGGAACACGCCCACCGTTATATTTGCAAGAAAACCGGGATATTAAAAGGTAAATTAATGTCTACGTCACCAAAAATACCAGCACAAAGTAACAATATAAAATAACCAACATTATTTCATAATGTGATTATTAATACCGCATTGCGTGAAGTGGCTTACCTTTGCATTCCATGTTTATAGTCAAAATCTTGTAAAACCAGAATTACTGACTACTAAAAATGGCTCGATCCACGATTTACAAAAAAAATCATTTTACACCTGTTTGGGGTATTTAAAAAAACAACTATTTGTTGAAAGAAATAGACCTAGTATATAATATTAACCATTCACTGCTATACTATATCTAAACATATCTCAAAATTCTCGTCATAATACACAACAATATATCTATATCTATGTATATATATATACTATATATAATGTAAACTTGATAAAAACATTTTATAACACAATTGGTACGAGAATGATACTGCATAGGCTTATTGAGAGCATTAAATATTAACTAACGTATAATGTTTTACAAATCAGACAATTAACTTAATCTTTAATTAGGTCAGACCAACACTGAAGTACCCTTAACTTTCGAGACGGTTAATGTTATGGAATACGCATATGGTAAGTAATACCCAACTTTGTACATACGGACCTTTAAATTAAATGACTGCGAACATGAGTAAGCACTATTGGTATAGGCCTATTAATCAGTAGCCATTTCCTATGAGGATAGCTGATAGACATTAACATGACACAATAGTACCTGGATAAACTGACAAACAGCCGCCGAAATGTTCCAATAAAAATTTACTATGTAACAAATACAGCGGACATGTCTGTATGCCTACAGGTGCTGGCAGTAATACAATTATTTTTTTGACTGTCAGTCATTACATTAATGCTTGCTATCAATAATGTATATGCCTATTATTGACTGTTTCTGTTTCAGAGATTCAGAGTCTTTTCTTTCTTTTTTTTTATCTTCAATATAAACTTCATTTTCATTATCATTGCACTACTATGAACTTTTCAAGACATGATTCCTTTTCTTGAAAATTTAGGATATATTTTTAAATGTTTTGATTTGTGTAGGCCTATTTGGGTGAGAGTAGGGGAGGAGTAGTTGAAGAATAGAAGGTGATTTATATATTATGATCTACCTGTAATAACAAGTATCAGCTAGCGTATGCCAGAATGCTGAACGTAGGTGAAGTGGAGTATGATTACGATGATTCTTTCTTTCCGTCATATTCTGGTTAAACAAAACATTATTATAATATTTGTTCTATATATTTGATGATAACAAAATTATCTGATTGTCTAGATTATGGAAACTTTTGTGGAGAAAACCATTTCCTTTGTGATAACGGCGAATGTATTCTGAAGCCAAGTGTCTGTGATGGATACGCACATTGTATTGACAACAGTGATGAACTGCATTGTTGGAACCACAGTAATGATTCACAAAATGTTATATATTTTGACTGTGACACTAATGACGAAAATATTCCGATTAGCCGTGTTTGTGACTTTGTCACTGACTGTATGGATAGCTCAGACGAATCGAGTTGTGGTAAGACTATGTTTCTCAAATAGAGCTATTAAACAAGCCAGCACAGTATGCTTATAAGATGATCTTCTAAGTTATACTTTTCAGTTAGTAAATATATTCATTACAGAGCGTTGTTAAAGAGAGTTTAATTGCAAAGACACTTTAATTTCAAAGACATAAACTTATTTTGTACAAAACGTAAAAATGAGATAAGATACTTATATAAGCAAATTTGTCAGAAGTAAAAGCGCATAGTTGACATGTCAAAATCAAAGGAAGCACAAAAAATACTAAAACGCATAAACCACCAACATATGCAACAGTTGTTTTTTTTTATAAAACGTAAATTCATCAAGAATAAAAATGATTATTGTCAATTAATAACGATATAAAAACAAACAAATTAACATATTAATTTAAAATGAATAGCTAAAACGTTTTTATTTTTTTGTTATACTTCGGCAAGTTGATTTTAAGTGATACTTAAAAAAATGTTTTTTTTTTCGATCCACTAAATTTATTGAAGTAAATTAATAACAACATAGCTAGAATATCTATTCACTTATCGCTTTGTGATAATGGCGAGAACAATGATAATAATCAGAAATATCTCTTGAGTAGGTCAGTTAGCTGTTACGCTTTAAATTCTCCTTGTATTTGACTGAAAAATACATTCATTTTTTTAACGAAAAGTTTATGAAAAGTTTTCTCTGTCGACCAAAGAAGATTTTTAAGATTGCTCTCTAATCAAACAAGTAAATCCATGTAAAATCACTCAAACTTACGAAATACGTTAACATTTTGATGCAAGTAAAACTGCTCATATTTTTCTAACTTAAACTTCAGAAATACGTAAACATAGACAAGAAACAAACTAAAAAAAAAATAGGCCTATGTAGACACAAAGTAATTCTTGTCTTATTATTTATTACTTTGTAAATTTAAGTCAATGTCAGTAATGAATGTTTTGTTATTATTATTATTGCCTGTCTTTTGTTCGCAGTGCATTCGGTCTGTAATGAAAGTCATTTTCAGTGTGAAAACGGTCAATGTATTCCAGCTGCTGCCAGGTGTAATCTCATTAGTGACTGCGTTGATAAATCGGATGAAATAAACTGTGGTAATTTTTATCATTTTGTATTTATGTATTACGTTATTACTTTTTTATCATTAGTTTTTATTATATTTATTAATGATACAATGATATGAATACTATGATATACCGTAATTAAATTCTCGAATTGAAGCCCCCCCCCCCCTCTTTACTTTACAAAACTAGCCTCGAATAGAAGCCCTTCTCCCCATAGGTTTCTTTTCAAGATAGAATGATTTTTTTTTCGAAATAGTACAATACATACACTGTACATAAAGAAACAAAATAATTATAACATGGTTGGTTTATACAGAAGTTTAGGTGATTGAATCCCCCGTTAATACACTCCATGATACAGATTGATGTTACAGTGGCCTATTTATTGTTTAGTAGTAGTAATTCCCAAAATTTACAGCATTCATTTTGAAAAAAAAACCCCAACCTCCTCTTTAGTAGCCTCGAAAAAGAAGCCCATCTCGAAAAGAAGTCCACCCAAAATTCGCAAAAAAATTGAAGCCCCCCCCCCTCTTTACTTTACAAAACTAGCCTCGAATAGAAGCCCTTCTCCCCATAGGTTTCTTTTCAAGATAGAATGATTTTTTTTTCGAAATAGTACAATACATACACTGTACATAAAGAAACAAAATAATTATAACATGGTTGGTTTATACAGAAGTTTAGGTGATTGAATCCCCCGTTAATACACTCCATGATACAGATTGATGTTACAGTGGCCTATTTATTGTTTAGTAGTAGTAATTCCCAAAATTTACAGCATTCATTTTGAAAAAAAAACCCCAACCTCCTCTTTAGTAGCCTCGAAAAAGAAGCCCATCTCGAAAAGAAGTCCACCCAAAATTCGCAAAAAAAAAAGAAGCCATCCAGGGCTTCAATTCGAGGTTTTACTGTATATCAAGATTGTCTGAACTATTAGGCCGGGCCTAACACGTTTAACTTTTAAACGTTTCACCAAAGACGGGACAACTTTGCTCTTGGAGCTTTGCGTTTAAATTCTCCACGGTATTTTAAAAGTGTAGTAGCGCAAACGTAACGGTATACTATGTTTCATATTTTTTCTTATCTAATTATTGTGAGACATAATAATATTAGTCAATGATACTATTTACTAGTAATAAGTGTACGAAAAAAAATTAATAACAAGCTGTTATTGAAATCAACAATGGGGTCTTAATTGTATGTTTCGATGAAGCATACCTAGATGTTTGTAACACCGTCCTAGAATGAACGTCTGAATCCAAATATCAAATAAAATGTACGGTACTGTATGTATGGCCGTTGCAATTTTGCTCGCACACGTATAATACCTTTATGTTTATTCTTCCCAAAAGATATCTGTAACCACAGCTTTCAATGCTATGATGGAACTTGCCAGCCGAATGAAGCAGTTTGTGATGGGTACAAAAGCTGCACTGGTCAGTACTGGGAAGACGAGCAAAATTGCGGTATGTCCCTGTCACGCTTGTTCTTAAATGGGTTCAGACGGGATTATACATAGGGTCAGTTTCCGGAGGACGCCTGGGTCAACGCGATTTTACCCAAAATTCTACCGAAAGTTACTGAACTAGCGTTGCGTGGATAATCGTTCACAGAGCGTGAATGAATCCATGTCAGCTGACGGAGTTTTGTTCAGAGGAATGCTAACACTCACCTTGTTTTTGAAACAAAAATATGATAGAAATATATTTTAGAATTTGTAACACAATAAGTAGAGCAATAAAAACTGATTTAACGCGTTTAAAATTTGGTAATGAGGTAAGTAGTATTTACCTTGACTCACGTTTGCACATTATGTTTAAAATTCACATTTAAATGTTATGACATTTCTATTTCAAGTAATAACGGTATGTTATTTTCAGGATATACTTTTAAATTCAAAATGTAATCGTCGCTAATAAATAAAGTTAAGAATGAATGAATAAATGAATGAATATAATCATTCGCGTCAAAAACAATGTATCGTACAAATCGAGAAGCAACTTGCGGTATTGTATTCTGTTATTATAGTTCGATTTCGTTCTTATATTATGCTAATATTAACAGACTATCATAAACAAGGATTTAAGTGTCCCGACAACGAGTTACAGTGCAACAATGGTGCTTGTATGAATCAACGAGACGAATGCATTTATGACTTAACAGTAGATGGATATCAAAAAGGCTGTAAAGATGCTACACATCTTAGATACTGCGGCAAGTATTAAAGATTCTCTTCCCTATCTAATTGAATTATCAATAAATAAATCGATTTTAATATTGTAATTCGAATCGTTGCAGCAACGTTATTAATTAGTCAGAAATGATATTATAAATACGAATTTTGCAGTTCTACAAAACTACATGAGTTATTGTAACGTAGCTGGGACCAACCAAACCTCTTTGAAATAACACTGTTGTTGACGTCTGCATTAAATACATGCAATTAGAGGTGGGAAGAGAGATTTGTGAAATAAATAATAGTGGTGATATAGAATTAGATGAGGAATCGCCCCAGCTCCTGCTTTTGAAGTCTCATTTATCCCTTATCAACAACTACGCATCTCAAGAATTTTTACAAGAAAGTATCTACAGTATTATGTCACAACATGTTTTCTTCCCTTTTGAATTGTATTTCAACTTTTATAATCTGTAATTGCTCTCTAAATTGTAAGTTTGCTTTATTATTTGACATAGAATCATTTCAATGTCCGGAAATGACGCTTAAATGTCCTGGATCATACTGTATCCCCCAACTGTTAAGATGTAATGGTGAAATTGATTGTCCTGATGGAAGTGATGAGTATGCATGTGGTAAGTAGACGATTTGTTGTTATATAAGATGTTTTAAAAAATGATTTAACAATTATTTCAGATCGTAATAACATAAGCTTCAGTTTCATTATTAGTAACAATAAAAAGTATCTTGATATATACAGCTACACCACAATAACAACAACTATAATAAGAATGTTGTTTTGCGTCAGGGAATTCCATATCAGTGATGTTTTGCCATTCCTTACGTGTTTACTGAATACTCAATACGTTCCCAAATACTTACGAAAGAAAATCTCGCAAGTGATTCTGGTAGGAATTGTCAGGTAGAGCAAAACACTACACCTATGTAATAACAGCAATAATTATAATCATACTAACAATAGCCACAGCTACAGATACAAGACCAACAGTCATGTATATACATAGTGCTTTGCAATGGAGCATCTCAGACATTTACATTGTTATAAACTTTGGAAGTATTTCCTTTTTTTCTCAGATTCTTTTGCATGTCCCGGGAGCTACCGATGCCGAGACAGTTTTTGCATTTCTCAACAAAATGTGTGTGATGGTACGAGACACTGTCCCCATGGTGATGATGAGCTGTACTGTGGTAAGTTTAAATTTTTTTTTTTGTAAACGTTTTCGTCTGTTGTAACCACAAACTTGATTTCGATGTTAGGCATCATGATGTTCGTGTTTTAACCATAAAGGTGACCTAGATGGTCGGCTGATATTAAGGGGCTTCTTAATAAATGAAATAATATGATGCGTTGATCAGCGAAGTCTCTTAATGAGGCTTAGGCAGTAGAGTTGTTTTTCATCGCGAGAAAAGTCGTGGAATTGAACCCCGAACCTGGGATTAGAAAGCAAGCATCTTAATCAGTGAGCTATTCAACTTCACTCCGTTACTTGCAATCATGTTCGAACTACATCTTTAAAACAATGAGCGTAATTTTCAGACTTACGAACAATGTTATGTTAATACGCGGAGGTCTGTTACTCAGAATCTACAAAATCTAATTTGTATAAGTTTATTTAATTTTTAATTCGTCTTACTGGTTTCTTATAAAGAAAGAATTCAATAAGTAGCATTGCGAATATTTTGCATACGTCAAGACATTTCTACGTCATCAAAATGCCTTTGCGTCAACAGAAGTAACTTATTTTTGTAATAAAAACGCCTTATATTCTAGATGTTGATTGTCCTGATGGCTGTAATTGTATTGGATATTCTGTATCGTGCGTCGGAGCCGACTGGAATCGCGACGCTGCTGTCCAGCTCCCTATAAAAGCAAGAGCTCTGTAAGTTGGACACATAATATAATTTGTGCATTGTGTGCTGGAGGGAGTGGATGCATTTTACGCTATAGCTACCATTTTCAATATTAAATTTTGTATATTTTGCTCATTCTCTTTTGTATCCTAATTAAGGATTAAATGAAACACAGCTTAGTCTATAACACGGTTTTATTATACGAGTTTCCTAAAGGAAATGATGTTAGTCGTGAACGGAAAAGGTGGGGGATAAGGAGGATGTATAGGATTTGAACCCAAAATAGTTGGATTGAGTGATAATCATCTTTCACCAGGCTACAATTTCATGGGATTGGAAGGCAACTACCCAGCAAACGTTTAACGCTCTTGTTACAAAATGACGTTAACACAACGTTACAGCAACTTCATTCGAAATTACATTGTAAATAATATATAATAAATAAACTGTAATGTTATTACGACGTTATCATACGTTTTGTTATGTCGTCGAAGTGTTAGCCGGCTGGGTATCACTTTTCAGTTTCATCACAAATTGATATTTATTATAATGATTGGGTTTCAGGAATTTGAGCAGTATAATTTCACAATCAAGACAGCGAAGGAACGTGGTAGCTAGCAAGACACTCAGCGATGTCCGGTATATTGACAATTTCACGGTGTTATTGAACCTGTAAGTAATTATTACAATTTTTAAACACAAATATATACAGAGTCGTATTTTCGTTTAAACATGTTATTCATTAATTTTTTCACATGCTTTAACTCCAAGCTTTCTTTCGATGTCAGATTAAATCCTTATTAGGCATTATCGTGTTCGTTACTTGCAATCAGGTTCACACTGTATCTTAAAAATATGATTGTCATTGTTAGACTTACGAACAGTGATAAATTAATACCCGGGTGTATATTTTAGGCTAATTGCCATTTTCAATATCAAAGTTCGTATTTTCTGCTTCATTTTCATAAATATCCAAATTATAGGATGAAATGAAACATGGTTTTATTATACGAGTTTTAGGAAATATATTAGAAATGGGTGTCATGTTGACTCATTATATAAATTTGATAGTGATTATGATTGGTTTCAGGAATTTGAGCGACGGTATAATTTCACAATCAATAAAGCGAAGAAATGTGGTAGATGGCAAGACCCTAAGCGATATCCTGTATATTGATATCAACAAGTTCACAATGTTATTAAACCTGTGAGTACTTTCTATTACAATTTAAAAAATAGAAATATAAACTGATTCGTAAGTGTAAATGTACTATATCTAATAAGCATGCGCTCTCATTACTTAATCCGTGTATGCTTCCTTGCAAGATGACAACACAAGCAACTATATTGCAAGTGACTCGTGTTATTCCCACTTTTTTGTTGATTGGTTAAGGCTGTTAATCTTCCATATAGGCTGTTGTTGACTCTAGTTCTAAACAATCGAAGAGTCGGTTAAATGTTTATTTAGACCTTTTTATTTTATTGAATTCTCCAAATCAACAATGATATATTTGTATTAAAGATAATGAAATAACATGCATTTGTAATGTTTTGTAATGTTTCTTTCATATTTTAAGTGACTTATCAAGTATCGGTTTGGATATTGTCATCCCTGGAACCTTCTCAAATTTACACAATCTTCGAAAACTGTAAGTGTATGAGGCTTTTAGAATTTTATTTCTTATCTCAAGAAATGTTTCATTAATTTATTTATTAAGTAAAAAAATGTGTTTTATAACGATACAAGAAACAAATACAAGAGCGTTAAAGAGGAAGTGGCTAGTACTGTACAATTAGGCCTATGTTAGTTGAAAAGCTGCAGTCGCTTCGTTTTCTACAAATGGATATGTATTATATAAAAAATGTTTCTTAGACACACACTCCGTTCAAAAAGCGTAGTCGCTTCGTTTTCTACAAATGGATTTGTATTATATAAAAAATGTTTCTTAGAAACACATTCCGCTCAAAAGGCGTAGTCGCTTCGTTTTCTACAAATGTATTATGATATAAAAAATGTTTCTTAGAAACACATTCCGTTCAAATAAATTGTTGGTTCTTTTATATTTTCAGACGCCTCGCTAACAACAACATTATGCATCTAAGCAACGGTTCATTTTTAGGTCTTTATCAACTAACTAAAATGTAAGCAATACTGGTTTAATTTAGGACTTATTTGTATGATTCTTGTTACTTTTAAAATGTAACTTGGAAATTCCACTCTACATCAACAAATATCAAAATACTAAAATGCAAATCAGGCAGGCTTCTATAAGGCAGTGGATCACAACAGCGAATGCGAAAAACTAATTTGGAATTTATTAAACATTTGATCCACCTTTCAACATAGATAATAATTATGCATCTAGAATACAACGCCTGGTAGTTTACATCTTTTTTCAAAAAGCATTTTGAGATAGATTTAGTAAAATTTTATACACTTTATCAATCTCACTTATTCTCATTATTTTACCCCTTGTCATTGGATAACATACAATGTTAAACCAGCACAAAGTACTAAACAAACTTCTTTTCTCCCGGGGGGAGGGGTATACCTCAGTGGAAGAAACCAGTACATTTTTGTGCCATAACATTTTACCAACCCATTGTTATAATACAGAGTAGAGATAAACCCAGATAAATGTGTCTTGTCCAAGGACACAAACGACTTGCACAACGAGGATGTCCAACCTCAAGATTGCCCCCCCCCCCCCCCCCGTGCTACTAATTACACAATTAGTGTATTAAAACAAAGGAATGAATATCTAAACACTGTCAACGTGTTTTGGCTGCATGAAAATGTTCCTATTACGATAAGTTACCGTGGCCTAAAATCACACATAACACAATCATAGAGCTATATTTCTTTTTACCATCAGTGATCTAAGTGGAAACCCAATACAAGTCATCAAAAGTGGTGCATTCCGAGGTATGCAGAGCATTCTGTCACTGTAAGTATTATATACAGCTGCAAGCTGCATTTGAATACTTTGAGCATGTCGACAGTTGACTGTGCTGTGGGTGTGATAGTCCTCCGTACAAGTTCGTTTACCTTCGCAGCATTATTTTGGTTCCATTCATACTACTGCTAGGTAGAGAAACAATCGCACATAAAATGCCTTACCAAGGACACAAACGATCTTACACAGCGTGGGGCTTGAACCCCCCCCCCCCCGAGCTCAAGTTGGGGATCCAAGCCACAACAGTTGTGCCAACAGCTTACACGTACTTACGTGTAACAGATTGGAAGCTTGGAACGTGATGGTACTTATACACAAACTAGTTGAGGAATCGGTATGCAATGTCTTTTCTCTCGATTCAGAAACTCAAGGTAACAAAAATTGACGCAGAACTAATCCATAATTAAAATAAAACATTTTATAAACTTAACAAAAATTTTTATTTTTTTATTAACAGCTCCCTTGAAAATATGCTTTTGAAAGATTTGCCTGATAATGCATTTATGGGCTTGAACAATTTAACAAAGCTGTAAGTAACTTTATAATACTCAGAAAACATGCAATAATACTGTAGAAAGTGTACCAATAATAGTCTTTATTTACGTACAGTAATTATGTTTTGTTGCCTACCTTATCATGAGCTAGAGATAGGCAGAACTTCCACGTAGGCATGATTGTGAAATGGGATTTTAGAATAATAAGTATACACATGACAAATATTCCACTTAATATTCGGAACTCAAACCTGTAAATTCTTATTGTCCTCGTTTTTTAAGAACAATGAATGGAGAACTTGCTTCCAGAAAAAAAAAAAAACTTCGTTTCTGTAAAGTAATGGTATTTTCTTTGCTAATATTTCTGTAAGGTCACTGAGGAACAGTAGTTTGGTGAAAATTGCAACAGGTGCATTCAGCAATCTTCAGCAAACAACCTATTTGTAAGTAGCCTATTCATAATCACATGGTTACTAATTATTTTACTTCAATCATTATGGATGGTAGTATCATTATAATTATTATAATCATAAGCTGCTATTGTTCCCATATTAGTGTTATTTTATTTTTGTGTATTTTTATATTTACTTTACCATTTTATTTTATTTGAATTGTGGTTATCTTGTTGGTGAAAACAATCGTTTAAAGTATTTCGATGTATTTGCGTTAGGAATATGAATGAGTAATGTGTTTGCCATACCTGAAGTGCTATTGTACTGGAAACAGTACAGTACTCGGCAAGTCCCTAAATCCTTGCGAAATTGTAAGCTATTACAAAACCAGAGTGTTAACAGTTTATAGTGCATGTGGAGTGGTAAAAGTGAGCTGAAGTTAAATTAAAAGATTTCGATTGTGGTAACGTTAAATCCTTGATGAAGACATCACCTTTTTGAATGGAATAGGCATGCAGGAGAAATTTGGAGTGTATTCTTCATAGTAATATATTTTAATGATTTCTCTAAATGCAGAGATATATCCGAGAATGAAGGTATCAGTGAGTTTGGAGAAAACGTATTCGAAGGATTGGACAATTTGGAAACACTGTAAGTAAAATGTACTAGGTACGGTAGTATTTATTTCATTGATGTGCTACTCCTAATTCATGCATGCAACCGCCGCAGAAGCTCCAGTTTTGGAGGTTTTGTTTATTATGCAAAAACTCCAAATGTCGCCGAATAGTCATTTTCTTGTTCTTAAATGATCAATATTAAAGTAAAAATGTGTGTTACCTGACTGGTTTATTTTTATTTTCAGAATATCAGATGATTTTTTGTTTTGTTGTCTGATTGGCGAGATATCCAGATGTGAACCAGAACCTGATGAATTTTCCTCCTGTGATGATCTTATGCGGAATCAGGTTTTACGGGTCTTCATGTGGCTTCTTGGCTTTGGAGCGTTGGTTGGAAACTTCTTTGTAATCGTTTGGCGGTGTCACCACAAAGAGCGCAACCAAGTTCAGGGTAGCTTAATATTGAATCTTGCCATCTCTGATTTTATGATTGGCACGTACATGATAATAATAGCAAGTGCTGATATGTATTTCCGCGATGTATATGTATTACATGCTGAAGATTGGAAAAAGAGCTTTATTTGTCACTTATCTGGATTTATTTCTGTTATTTCGAGTGAAATATCCGTTCTTACACTGACAACAATAAGTATTGATCGCTTAATCTGCATTAGATTTCCATTTAGTAAGTTCCACATTGGACCATGCTCTGTAAAATTTATCATCGTTTTCCAATGGCTATTCTTGATAACATTAGCCGGGGTGCCATTTGTCTCTGAGAAGTTAGCAGCCGACTTTTACGGACGCTCAAGCGTCTGCTTAGCAATACCGCTGACAAGCGATAGACCAAACGGCTGGATTTATTCTGTGTTTATCTTTGTTGTGCTGAACTTAATTTGTTTCTTTGTCATCCTGTTCTGCTACGCATCAATATACTTCAAATTCAAAGAGTCCGCAAAAACGGTGGCATCAAACACGGCAAAGCCTCCATCCGCTGAAAAGAAGCTGGCGATCAAGATGGCGTTCATTATATCTACTGACTTCTTCTGCTGGGTTCCAATCATTACAATGAGTATACTCTCTCTCTCTGGTACAGTGATGATCCCCGGTGTAATGTACGCGTGGACTGCCGTGTTTGTTCTGCCTCTGAACTCTTCGTTAAACCCATACATATATACTTTATCGACCATCAAGTTCAAAAAGAGAAAAACCTCTACTTCCTGCTCTGAAATGTCACGTAAGTTTAACTAATTGTATACATTTTACACCTTTGATAAAATTCATATTCCTTTAAAACTTACGTTGTATATATGGCAGAGTTGCAATGTTTATACCTTCCTGTACAATTTTGTTGAATCATAAAAAATTCATCAGTTTTTACTGTTGAGTATTAAGTATCATATTATTTTGATTGTTCTTATTTCAGGATATACTTTAAAACAAATGGATTCAGACAGTTGTATGCGGTCAACAACATTAAATCCAGGTGCGATGTTCAATTATGTCAATTAATTTAAACAGTGTATAGTACATAAGTAACAACTAATTTAATTAATTTAAAATAATGATTGTTAAACAGTGGCGCTCCTTAACTATTGTCTCAATGACTTTAAAGCAACTGTATAAATAAGAACATCTCCACAAACATATTTATTTGAATTAATGTACTATAGCTTTCTATGCGGTTGTGTTTGCGTGTGTATACATATTTCACATAAGTTCCAATAATCAAAATTTCAGTGTTAGAACTATGTTTTTATGCATTATTATTTTAATACTTTTGACATAAAACAAGGTAAATTTCGATTATGTTATACCTATTCTGTTTTTTGTTTTTTTTTTTCAATTTTGACATCATTACATTCAGCCTATGGTTGCGAATTTAACTATAAAATTTTGAATTTATTTCAAAATAAATATTGATATTATTTCATCAGATATTCAAGATCGTTTCACAAAAATGCTGCTTCGTGAGATCGAACGATACCATGTGGTACCAATGATAAGTACCATCTCAAAGCGACCGTTTCTTCTATCGCAATACATGCAAAGTTCCAATAAGGTTTTATGTGAGGAAGACATCAATGCATTTGAAGAGGATCTTAACACAGCTCTTTCCTTTGTGCACCGGAATGGTCTTGTGCATGGCTCAGTCAATGAACATTCAATTTTAGTGCAAGCAGTAAGAGTATTATAAATATTGAGTTGTTGTTTGCAATGATGCCGCTGTAGTGTATACTGTCCTTTATTATCTATCAAACATACATTTTGCTCAAATTAGTCTGGAAATTCAGCATACACGAATAACATGATATAATTACGTCCCAAAACCATGTCTTGTATTTCGAGAATGACATACCACAACATTGTAACAGTACACAAAATAATGTAAAAACCAAAAAAATTTACAGTTAAAATGTTAAAATGGAACTTAGTGATTTCGGTTGAAGCATGTCCTGATGAAGCTGCCTCCAGCAGGTTGGCTTTCTTGTACAGCTCTATCAATTTATAAATCAATAATTTATCTTGTTTTTTTTAATTTTTAAATAGGGCTCACCTCGCCGAGCTTACTTGATACTCACCAAAGAAAAGACTCAAGAACAGGGAAGTGTTGACAGTGGGTCAACAAAGATCGATGAGGAACAACTAGCAGAGCTTCTAAAAAGATTGCGGGAACCAACCGACGCAGTCTAGACTGGTAGTATTGGATGTTATATCAACCCAGTAATCTTTAATAGAGCATACAAAAATTGACATTGGTTCCTTCAGAGGCAGTTCTCTGGTTATTGGATTCAAAGGAATCGTATCAACAATGTCCAACCTTCTTTTCTCCCAAGTTATCTAGTCATATCTCATAAATGTACTCTTCCACTATAATACTGATAGGTTACCAATCCAAATATGACAGAAAATACTGTGCCATACGTTACTGCAGCAGCACAAAAGGTATATACTGTACATTGAAGAGAGTCCTTTCCATCGCAAAATTGTTCTGCGATGGAAGTGCGCAGAATGTAATTGATAGGAAAAACGACATGTACCCATTGCAACTTGGTTGGGCGAAAAAAAAAAGCATTTACACTCTGTCTACACAGAACGAATATTAAAAAATCGTCAAGATCAAAAAAATATATATACGCAAGTTTGTGTGATGTCGATTTGTTAAGTGAAGTATTAGCTGCCAAAATTCGATTAGAATTTGGCTAAATTTTGGTCGATATTGTAAACAAATTTTGGCTGTAAGGTGGCGTGTCTCGAAACTGGTCTTTACCAATGCACAAAGCTTTCTACACTAAATCAAAATTAGATTCATAATTTTCATTTTTGTCTGTTTAAAAAAAAATGTGTGTTCTATCATATACAAGACAGTTTTTACTCTTGTATCAATGACCGTGTATGGTAGATCTGAAACTTACCAATTTACAATATTTAGAAGCAGCATAGTGGATATCTCATTTGGAGGCCAGAATACAGTTTAGAGTAGTACTGTATATATTTTACACGGCTATAGAACGCCAGCGTTACTCATTCAACATTGGTGGCCAAGACCTACTGTAGCTGAATTTGAATAGTCAACTCCATTTTGCAGCTTGATTTTTATAGTGTGGTATAAATTGCAGAGGTGTTTTGCAATGCACTGTTTAGTACGTTCAATTTCATCCATCCTACATCTTATTATCTTAGACTAATTTTCAGTTTACACAGATTGTATGAATATATAGATTATTCTAAAGCCTAAAATATCTCAGATTCTCAATCGAATCCACTACTGTATATAGAAAATTTAGTGAAAAAGGGGCATGCCTTTTGAGCACAAATACTGTGTTAAGTAAACAAATGACAGTAACTTTCAAAAAATTAATATATGCTCTATTGTTTAAATACTTGTTATTGGTGCTTGTATGGTGCTTTTCCTTGAGGTTAAGAAGAGCTTTTTATCGCTCTGTTTAAGTATTGCTGCCGTATCAGCACAGTAGCAGGCAACCCCACCAGGCACCCATTTTATACTCCTGGGGTTGGGGAGTATCATTGCATAAAGTGCTTTGTACAAATACACAAGTAAATTACTTAATTATTACTGAAATGTAAAGTGCAACTTTCATCCACACAGTACAAACAAATGGATTGTACATTTTAAAATTAATTTTTTAAATAAAATATTTAATCATCATAATACAAGCAATATTTGGGCTAATATTTTATATTAAATTAAAAAAAAGGAATCTTACCATATTCATATAGAGTAGATTACAGTATTTGTTTAGAAAATGCCTTTGCTTTGAAGTTAAATGAAGCTCATTTACTTGCGCTTTAAGAAGCTGATCTTTTTAATGGGTGTTATAAATTTGGTTGATTATTACTTTATTTTTTAGGGTAGGAAAATTCCTCAGTATAGGCCACCCACTTGATCTTTATTCTCCTAAGAAGTGTACCGTGTTCACAAAAATACCTGTATAATTGATCACCATATGTTTGTACAGTAGTATAAATAAGAAAAAGCAAAATTGTTTTCATACATGTCTTATTGAAAATATTAACTTGTTTTCAATTCATCATTTTTAATGATTTTTTAGCATTATTCCAGATTTTACCAAAGATAGCTTGGTACCAATGAATTTCTTATCGTATCGTATCTCTTTATAAGTATGAATACTTTACATTAACTTTGAGCAAACTATAAACGTATGTTGTTCTTTCGGTAGTGAAAATGATGAAACCCTTTAATCTACGAATTAGCATGTGAATAATACATGAGATTGCACTGTAACATAAATAATAATGTATTATGTCACCATTTATTAAAATACTTGCCTCTGGACTACTGTAAAGATATAAAACCCTCATTTCTGTAAAATTGATTTTCAGAGTTGGAGCCTTTTACTGAAATGTGTATTTCATCTAGATGACAAGTTGAAAAATTATAATCACTAAAAATCTGTAAAACAAACAATTCTTTTTAGTAATTTATTATTGTTTAAAGTAACTTCAAATGTTTGTACATAATTATTATTAATGTAGGTAATATTTAAAAAATTGGAGAAATATGTTTCATATTCAAATCCATTATTATTAAAATTCATCTGTATTTAATGAGGTACAGTATACTGTCCTGGTTATATTAATATACTGAAAGTCAGAGTAGTATTTTAGGTAAAAAATTTTAAACAATTTAAAAAAATAACAAAAACACATGTAATTTTTATATAGCATTCACTACAAAAATATTAAATCATGAATCTTCAAAAAATAGGTTTATTTCAGTAATACAGAAAGGTGTCCTTATAATCTATATATACTTGAAGTTTAGTAGTATGGTATTTTACTTTTTAAAACAACTTGTTTAGCTGCTGTAAATTTAATTTTATTAAATAAATTATTTATTTAATGAATTTCTGATGGCTGGTCCTGCAATTTTAGTATGGTTTGATGTTGGCTCATTTCATTATTTTCATGCTTCCGAATATTGAAAAAAATCAATATTTACAAGACTGTATCTAATTTACCCTCTACAATATTGTATATTATTGCACAGTATTTAAGAAATTCTACGTTATGTATTGCTGCAGGGCCGTTTTTAGCCCGCTTGTGTTAATATAGAGCCATTCAATGGTTGAATAAATACAAAAATATGATAATTTATTTTTTAACAGGAATCCTACTTTCATTGTAAGAAGTGATACAAGCCAAAATAGGAAAGCAACTAATGCTCTGTCTACACTGTCAAAATTTCTTTGAAACTGTTGCATACCCAAACTATTTTATCAGTCTGCAAATATTACACAATGCAACTGTATACATACCTCAAGAATAGACCGCGCATTAAAGGACTTCCTCTTTTTCTGTTCCTTCCGGTAACCTTTGCCACGACCTTTATCCCAGTTTCCCTTTTCTCCATCAGGTTCTTTATTGAATAGGCTATTGATCAACGTACCATGGATCTTCACACGATCATATTGCCTCTGCATTAAGCCTTCGCTAACAAACTGCTCAACAAGACTGTCTGCCAGGAGTTGCAGCCTATGAATAAAGATTTGAATAAATATTATTATTATTTGATAACAATAAAATAGTAATTAATATCAATTTGAATTTGATGATGTAGAAATTTAAATTATATATCCTGTAAACATGTACATAATTTTAAAAAATACTATCAGTTTAAATCTTGAATGTTTTCCTGTGTTGAATTGACTTGCATGTATATTTTTTAGTTATCAGAGCAAATGTGATGCTCATGGCCTTAAAAAAGGGCTGCTCACAAATTAAGTGGAGGGGGGGGGGGGTGTTCATATGCTAGTAAAGGGGTGCACACAAAATAAATGTATACTCCTAAGGGCTTAGAAAATAGGTGCACAGGAAGAAGGAAGAAAATTTGGTGCATACTGGCTATCAAAGTGGAAACCTACTGTATAAGCAAATAGGAGGCTAAAGAAGCAATGTGGGTGTTCATAAAGCAAAAAATATAGCAGCCTTGGGTAGCAAAGGGGAGAGCATATTTTACCAAGCATCCAACACGCTAAAGGGCCCTGGATATTTAATTCAAATTAGAAACACACACAGTCCACCCTTATCGAACCTCCAGTTTAACTTCCTACATGGAGATTTTTGGGGGATCCAGTAACAACTACAAGGTTACGTTACTTACTTGTTAGAGTTGTCTGTAGGCTGAACATTACAATACAGTACATCCACCTGAGCCGGGTCATCATTCATATATTCTAAGCCAGAGATGGATAATTCTAATGGTTGATTTTGAAGGATAGCACTGAAAGTAACCATAAACACATACAGAATTAGAAAATTAACATAAACCTAATGATGAAAAATCCTAATGAAATTTAATATTCTGTAACCATGTACATGATTTTAAAAAATACTATCAGTTTAAATCTTGAATGTTTTCCTGTGTTGAATTGACTTGCATGTATATTTTTTAGTTATCAGAGCAAATGTGATGCTCATGGCCTTAACAAAGGGCTGCTCACAAATTAAGTGGAGGGGGGGGGGGGGGTTCATATGCTAGTAAAGGGGTGCACACAAAATAAATGTATACTCCTAAGGGCTTAGAAAATAGGTGCACAGGAAGAAGGAAGAAAATTTGGTGCATACTGGCTATCAAAGTGGAAACCTACTGTATAAGCAAATAGGAGGCTAAAGAAGCAATGTGGGTGTTCATAAAGCAAAAAATATAGCAGCCTTGGGTAGCAAAGGGGAGAGCATATTTTACCAAGCATCCAACACGCTAAAGGGCCCTGGATATTTAATTCAAATTAGAAACACACACAGTCCACCCTTATCGAACCTCCAGTTTAACTTCCTACATGGAGATTTTTGGGGGATCCAGTAACAACTACAAGGTTACGTTACTTACTTGTTAGAGTTGTCTGTAGGCTGAACATTACAATACAGTACATCCACCTGAGCCGGGTCATCATTCATATATTCTAAGCCAGAGATGGATAATTCTAATGGTTGATTTTGAAGGATAGCACTGAAAGTAACCATAAACACATACAGAATTAGAAAATTAAAATAAACCTAATGATGAAAAATCCTAATGAAATTTAATATTTAATGTCAACTTACCTGATAATATCTGTTTTACACTTGTGAAGCAGGATTGTGGCCTTTTCCTTAATTTACATAAAAGGGAAAGCAAAATTGTGTTAATCATTAAAACAAAAATATAAGTAGAGCAGTCACTCCACAGAGTGCATACCTCCACCCTGCAGCAAAATAATGGAACCGCCCGTCATACTCGGGTACAGTTATTTTTATAAGTGCTATTCGAATACGAGGGGCGATTCCATTATTTTATTTTACGGTCGAGGGTAAATAACTGAATTACCGTGACCTTGACCCTTTTCTTCTGAAAAATGAATGGTGTCTTTCTTTGATTATTATGTACCATTCCACTAAATTTAATGATGATCCATTCATTCATTTTTTTGTAATCTTGCTAAAACACACACAGATAGCTGTGAATATATAACCTCCTTGGCGGAGGTGGTAATATATAAGTTTTTAGTTGATGTTTGAAGACACTAAGCAACTAACATGTATAAATCAACTTATCTATTTAGAATTTAATAGTACACATGTAAGCAACATGGCTCTAGTTTATATGGCCCTGAGTGGTCACTCATTGGGAGTACTTTAGTTGTAAGTTAAGTTGACCTTATAAAGTTGAATTAAGAATACATTATTTTAAATTAAAATTAAGTCTGATAAGAAATAGAATTTTTAAAATAGTTTATCAAGTTACATCTCTTCTTATGAGTTTTATTACTCTAGTTGTAAGTGAAGATGACCTTTTAACGTTGGATCAAGAATAAATTACTTTAAATCAAAATTAATTCTGATAACAAATATAATTTTTTTTTTATTAGTTTTTCTATTTTCGTTTTAAGTTTTATTACTCACCACTTCATGTTTATTCATCAATACCAATGTTCCTAAAGTCAAGTGAAGATGTTCAGGCTTCTGAAACATTGTCTCATCCAATCCTTCAGACTTTACAGAAATAAATGATCACACTAATTAATCAAACACAAAAATCTGATCGAAATTATTTTTCCAAAACGAAATTACTGTACTTATAATTGCCCACTGATTTCGATTTTTAGATAAAATATGTTAGCCTTTATATTCTTTTCCAAATAGTGTATCAATAGTTTGTGCACAGAATTGTTACATACTATAAAACCAACAACTCAACATCTCATGTTAAACATAGTGTCATAACTACAGCCCTGTTCCAACTACTGTATAAAATTTTATTTTATAAAACATGTGAAATGCTTAAATATGGTCATGATGACATCATACTATGACCTTATATGGGCAAATCATGATCATTTGGGCATACAACATATTTTGTCAATTAAGAGTCTGGACAGGGCTATCAAATTTTATATAGCACATCATTACTACAACAGTTTGTCATAAAAAAAAAATTTGATAATGTGGACATTGCTTAAGGACACAATTAATTAATTATTGCATAATAATCACATTCCCCCACTGTAGCGAAAAAATTATAACTCTGCTAAATAATGTTACAAAAATTATTGTGAATTCATAGTGGATAGTATATAGTGCAACTATACCTCTGAACATGAACTCAGGACATCACTTTTGAACTGCTGGACGGCTTCTTTAGTCTCTGGGGTGACCAGTGGTATTGAGAGGAAGTGTGTGAATGGCTGCCTCTGTCGAGCAGACTCCACCAGAAGAGCGATTCGATCTCTTGCAGCGATGACATTTTTTCTGGCTTCTGAGTTTATGGCTAAAGGCATAAGATATTGAGATTAGTTGTATTACAGTACGTATTAAGGAGCATTGGATTTTGCACGATGTGACGCTAGAATGGTTTAACTCATGCGTGACCGTCCTTCTGTCCTCTGCACAACATAGATTTGGTCAAATTGCATCCTAGAATCGATGAGACAATGAGAACTTAATGTTCTCGCATGTGCAGTGTCTTCTTCATGACGTCCTTACATTCTACGTAGTACCATCATAAAGCTCCCATATATACGACCCTTGAACATCAGCTAAACTTCTTGGCTTACCTGAAAGGATCACCCTCTTAAATAAGGTTTAATTTTTTTTTTTTTAATAAATTAAAAATGAAAAATATACAGATATACTTCAAGTCAAATGGAATAGGTATTGATTAGTCTACATCATAGACTCAATGTGTTAGGGTTAGTAATTTGTTAATTATCAGGTGATATTTAAAGCAATTTATTTAAACATCTTAATTATAGGCTTATTTATAATTTAATTATATTATTATTATTATTATTATTATCATTAATATTATTATTATTAATCAAAATCAAATTAATTTTATTCAACTTCTCTAATAGCAGCAAAATTGTTGAATAACAATTAATACGATATGTAAATCATTACATAAACTACCTAAAACCTATTAAATTTATCATAATTATTACTATTAATTTTAAAATAAGTAATAAAGGATTATATGTTCTGTGTATAGTATCCTGGGAACATAAGGATACCCACACAGGTTAGAAAAAAATAAATTAATTAATTATAATATAATTGCTATTAATAAAATTATGATTACCAAGTATATTATATTTACATGAGGTTATGAATGAACTAAAAACAGTAAATTTATATAATAAATTAAAAAAATCATAACAATGATAAACAGTATATATTGATTTGCCTACTGGATCTAAGACTTACTTATTTCTTCTTCTTGTTGTCCTTTTGGTACAAAAATTTTTGCATTTGTTTCTGTTTCAATCCTTCTTTTCGTTTCCCCTTTCTTTCCTATTATGAGACCGTAAAAACCACTAGGTACATCCATCTTTATTTCATATCCTTTTTCTGTGTGTTTTATGTCATCCAGGCCACAAGGTCCATCATCACACGCAATATCATCTTCTACAAAAACAATAAAACGTACATAAATTTTATTATAAAAGTTACCTCAAATAAAAGCCCAATGGGCTTAATGACGAGAAGGCCATCTTGAATTGAAGCCCCCTCTTTAGTTTGCAAATGCATTGGCTTATATCGTGATACAATAGTACAATACATAAACTGTACATTATTGTCAAGGAAGCAAAAAAAAAATCATGATATTGACGAGCTTTTTAAATGGTCGGTTAAGTGGCAACTACCTTTCAATTTGGATAAATGTTGTGTTATGCATTTTGGTAGAAAGAATTTGGAAACTTTGTTTACGATGGGACATGCCTATGACAAAAAGGTTCTTCAGTCAGTGATTACATGTAAAACTTGGGAATTCTTAATGATAAAAAACTTATTTTTGATTCTCATGTTTCTCAAGTTGCCTTAAACTTTAAAGGCAAACAGGAAACTTGGAATGATAAAGAGGTCATTTGAATTTTTGGATAGGCAGTCTCTTGTTCACATTTATAAATCTATTGTTAGGCCAAGCATGGAATATTGCAGTCCAGTTTGGCAGCATATACTTTAAGGAATCAGATAGGCCCTTTCCATATGAACAAAGATTAATAATGCTGAACCTACCCACTTTAGAATTTAGAAGGCAAGGATCTGCACAAATTTATGTGTACAACATATTTAAAAGGAATTGATAGAATCCCAAGTAACACTTTTTTTGAGCTTGTTAAAGCATCTAAAACTAGAGGCCATGAACTAAAAATTATTATACCTCGTTCAAAACTGAGTGCGTCAGAATTTTTTTTACAAATGCTGTGTGCAACATCTGGAATAATTTACCAAGTCATGTGATTGAGGCAGACACGTTAAATCAATTTAAATCCCGTTTGGAAAAGCATTGGCGTAGTCACCTGTTGAGTTTACCCCATATGTACGAATTGAAGGACGATACACCAAGAGGGACACACAAGCTTCGGTTCTAGAAGTATCGGTATCAAGGTAGGTAGAAACAACAACCTGTAAATTGTATATCTCATCATGTTTGTTGGAAGAAACAGAATTCTCTACTTCATCAGACAAATTCTGATCAAACGCTCCTATTGAATCTGACAAATAAATTTTGGTTATAAATACTTCAAAGTTTATTTCTCCTCAACACACTAGTGTATGAGTGTATGATGAGTTAATATTACTTCCTCTCATGATAGGAACAGTTTGTCTTCTTACTTTATAAGTGGAATTCCCGTGATGCATGGGACTTCCCCTTTACCTACAAAAAGGACTTTCCTTACCAACATATGGGACTTCATCTTCCTCAGCTTCATTCCATGACTGGTTGGTTTGGGATAGTGGGTTTTTTCGATACAGTCTTCCACCTATATTCACAATAGGTGGTTTTAGGACATCCATGGCTAGAGTTAAAGAAAAAAAGCCCACTTATAAGTGATTATATTTTCTTTTATTTCACGCAGATCATCTTGTACAAAACCCTAACAATTATTAGGAAATATAATTTTTAAACATTAATTGGAGTAAACCATCAGCCAGCTACCTGCAAATTCTGGCTTGTTTCATTCTTTACTGGATATTAAAACATCAAAATATAAATACAACTGGTATAATTATTATACCAAGGTTGCCAACTGTTGATTATAATTATTACTCTACTACCTACCTGTGTAAAAAAAAAAAAAGAAGGTAAGCAAACATGGAATCCCCATCACTATTAGCCCTAGCTAGTATCTATAGGCATAGGCCCTTATCTATGCAGTTATTTTATTTACATCATCAGCTACCCGGTCAGTCTAGCAGGCCTAGGCCCTAGTAGTAGTGGGCCAGCCTAGGCGGAACTTCCGTTCCGCCTCCCTACTGGGTACTGCAGGCAACCCTAGCAGCCTAGAGGCTAGGGTTAAGGGTAGGCCTAGGCCTACAGTAGGGCCCTTAGGACTTAGTTTAGACTCGGTTAAGCATGTTACCGTTATGTTATGGCACTAAAGCCTAAACAGCACAACCTAACCACTTCACAGGCTACACCAAATCTCTTTTTGGTCAGTCGTCCTTAACTTTGTTCGTCAATAATTTCGACCAGCTGCTAAAAATAAACAAACCCGACTAGTAATAGCGCCACCTACATTTTGTTAACTTGGTTTTTTTAAAGTCGAATCGCGCGTATCAATATTTTATGTTATTATTTTTAATTCCGTCTTGCTCTTTTCAGTCAGTCCAAATCAGTTACAGCGTCTAGTCACATATGTAGCTATGCTGCCTTAAATTAAATTAATTATTACTTTAGAGTTATGTATGCTTTATTTTTTATTCTCTGTCAACATCCAGAACAATCACAGCTATCAATTAAGTTCATTGATTTATTGTTTAAAAACTTCCAAAAACCATGTCTATATTTGTAAATTTTAATGCAGCTAAAATTAATAACATAGCTTGGTATAATAAATTACGCATGGCCGTTTAGTTTGAACTATTTGTGTTATTAAGTTCTTGGAAATTGCAAATTTCTCTCTAAACTCACTTTCAAAGGCAAAAGTAATTGTTTACATTCCCAGTGAATCATTCAAGGAGCCCACACGCCCCTCCCTCCCTAAACTTTCAAAATTATTTAAAAAAAAAAAAAAAAAAAAATGGAGAAAAAAAACCAAACTATATTGAAATTGAAGTTTAAGGGTGCCATTTTCGGTCATCTAGAGGTGCCATAATCATAATATTTTTACCTCAGCCCAAACCATGGTGGAAATGAGGCGGTCTGCATCTGTGAGTCTCTCCCGTGCCGCTCTATTTCAAATTTCTGGATCCACCATTGATCTCAGTAGTTTGAATTCTCATAAATACATTGACAAGATTTCCTACACTAACAGATTTTATCATACACCAAATATCTGTTTTATCTGAGTGCTGCTTTTTATTTCATTTCATAAGTATGAGAAGCACACAGACATAATATCTCTGTATTTCATTATCCTTGTAGTATACACGGTTTCTATATGCTTATTAAAGCATTATTATGGTTGAATATTCATTTAACAATAGGAAGGTTTGGCAAGCTTACGAAAACAATAACAAATATGGTTACGTCATCAAATATTTGGTCAATTCATCCCATAAATTAACATTTCTGTCACAACATAAGCCATTCATGCATTATACAAGAATCGACGATCATATTTAGCTCGTACATGTTTTGTCACGAATGACGATAATGAAGGCGATGTATTCGTATTCGTTATCGCTTCCGTAATTAATGTTGCAAAATCTCCTTAAGTAACAGAACCTTGGCAAGACATTCCAAAACCATATGCTCACCAAATTTGATAACATAAGTCCCATGCCACTTTCTAGTACGATTGTCATAATGGGAACATTAATAGTCACATCCATTCATGAGGCTTAGGGAAGGGTTTCATCTGTCTCTTATACACATCTAGATGTGTATAAGAGACAGGCTTCATTCCATGACTGGTTGGTTTGGGATAGTGGGTTTTTTCGATACAGTCTTCCACCTATATTCACAATAGGTGGTTTTAGGACATCCATGGCTAGAGTTAAAGAAAAAAAGCCCACTTATAAGTGATTATATTTTCTTTTATTTCACGCAGATCATCTTGTACAAAACCCTAACAATTATTAGGAAATATAATTTTTAAACATTAATTGGAGTAAACCATCAGCCAGCTACCTGCAAATTCTGGCTTGTTTCATTCTTTACTGGATATTAAAACATCAAAATATAAATACAACTGGTATAATTATTATACCAAGGTTGCCTGTCTCTTATACACATCTAGATGTGTATAAGAGACAGGTATTACAGTACGTATTAAGGAGCATTGGATTTTGCACGATGTGACGCTAGAATGGTTTAACTCATGCGTGACCGTCCTTCTGTCCTCTGCACAACATAGATTTGGTCAAATTGCATCCTAGAATCGATGAGACAATGAGAACTTAATGTTCTCGCATGTGCAGTGTCTTCTTCATGACGTCCTTACATTCTACGTAGTACCATCATAAAGCTCCCATATATACGACCCTTGAACATCAGCTAAACTTCTTGGCTTACCTGAAAGGATCAATTTTTTTAAAAAAAAAAAAAAAAAAAAAATGGAGAAAAAAAAACCAAACTATATTGAAATTGAAGTTTAAGGGTGCAATTTTCGGTCATCTAGAGGTGCCATAATCATAATATTTTTACCTCAGCCCAAACCATGGTGGAAATGAGGCGGCCTCCATCTGTGAAAGTCTCTCCCCTGCCGCTCTATTTCGAATTTCTGGATCCACCATTGATCTCAGTAGTTTGAATTCTCATAAATACATTGACAAGATTTCCCACACTAACAGATTTTATCATACACCAAATATCTGTTTTATCGGAGTGCTGCTTTTTATTTTATTTCATAAGTATGAGAAGCACACAGACATAATATCTCTGTATTTCATTATCCTTGTAGTATACATGGTTTCTATATGCTTATTAAAGAATTATTAGGGAGGTTTGGCAAGCTTACAAAAACAATAACAAATATGGTTACGTCATCAAATATTTGGTCAATTCATTCCATAAATTAACATTTCTGTCACAACATAAGCCATTCATGCATTTTACAAGAATCGACGATCATATTTAGCTCGTACATGTTTTGTCACGAATGACGATAATGAAGGCGATGTATTCGTATTCGTTATCGCTTCCGTATTTAATGTTGCAAAATCTCCTTAAGTAACAGAACCTTGGCAAGACATTCCAAAACCATATGCTCACCAAATTTGATAACATAAGTCCCATGCCACTTTCTAGTACGATTGTCATAATGGGAACATTAATAGCCACATCCATTCATGAGGCTTAGGGAAGGGTTTCATTGGGTGTATAAAAATGGAAATTACGTAACGCTATATTCTAACACATGGGATCAACACAATATTGAAATATTACAGTACAATGTAAAACAATGTGCCTTAGAAATGTGTATAATGATATACAGAAGCTACAGCGTGGCTGTACTACTAACAAATTATCTATTTTAAGTCTGCTTTATGTCTTAAAATAATTATTAAATTGATAATAATAAATATAACAAAATAATGTAGCATGTTGGCCTATAAATACGTCATATAATATAAAATCCCATAGTATTTCCACACCTATTCACCATGTTTTTGAAGATATACAGTTAATTCAGCACCAGTGATCAATATCATCATTTCAAAATCATTTACATTGGACTCATTTATAGATCTGTAATCTTAAGTGTTTGCAAGAGAACATGCTAAATACAAACGTATTGTTGGAAAAACAGGTCTACTTCTATAAAATACAGGTTTTGGCTAAAAAACCAGAAAATACATGTTTTGTTAGGCATGGAGCTGTGATATCTCCAGTGATGTCATCAACATTAGCATTACATTGTTATAATTTTTGTTATTAACATTTGATAAAATTATTTAAACTATAATAATTACATATTATTCTCAAAAATTAATTGAACTTCTTAAACCCTTCACTGTATTGTATGCATTTTATTATTTTCTTTATTTGCTGCATGTCTATAGATTAAGTTTAGTTAAGGGGAAGGTTAACTATTAGCCACTAGTCATGACGACTATGTGGCTATCTGTCCTCTCCATGTAGCCTTTGTTTACCAAATTCCCATAAATAAAAAAAAATCTATTTAGGAATTTTTGAGCACCTTCCTATAGTTCAAAACGTATGTGTTTTGAGAGAATCATTTATTATAACTGATTATTACAAATACGGACATCAACTGACTTTTTATACCATTCAACTGTACTTCTATCCCTCCTGTTTATACCCCTACTTTTAAGAGTTTTAGAGTGACCATGAGGCCAGCTTTACCCACCAAAACTGATGTTTCATGCCAAACTTTCAGGCCTAAGGTAGACCAAGACAGTCTAGAGTGAGTAAAGCAAAACTGATTGATATACTCTACATTTTGCAGATTAATTTTTGCCCACAATGGAATAACCATGGTGAGCTTTTTATCATTACAATGGCATGATTAAAAGCAGCAAGACTTACACAAAGTTTATACAAAATTACAAGTTTAAATTCTAAATGTAACCAATGTTTTAAATGTCTTAATTGCTAGTAGATAAAAAACAAAAACCACATTTTTAGATTTATTTACAGCTAAATGAGTTACATAACTCAACAAAAATGTTGAAATGTTGAAATGTACATTTAATTTCCATCGAAATCCAGTGCAGAGTCAATAACATCAATTCCAAGTCAATAGATAAAATTTCGAGTCAATAGTTCAAATTTTGAGTCAATAGTTTAAACTCTGAGTAAATAGTTTCATCTTCTTGCAAAGAACATTTCCAAAGGTTTGTTTGCTTTACAGTAGAGTTCATTGACCTGCTCTAACAACTGACTACCATTCAACATCTGAAATTTAAAAAGAAAAAATATTATTAAATAGCCAATGTTAAAATTGTTATCCATTATTATTTTATTGGAAGACAGCAGCATTTTTTTTTCATTATTGTCCAATGAGCTAGCTCAGTTTGCTTAAGAGTTAGTCACGATGCGCTGAAGTGTGGGCATTAAGGTATTCATTTTTTGTGTTTTTTGGTGGTTTTTTTCATTGTTATCCAATATCCAGCCTTGAAACGCTTATCATCTATATGTAGAAACCCCAGTGTTAAAATCATGAGCACATTCCTGACAGCGGTTCCAGAAGAGATATGTGAAGTTACGCCAAGGCATTAACAAAATCAATATACATAGATACAGTTATCAATTATGAATTAAATTATATATTGTGTATTTATTTATGTTTTTGTATTAGCAGTGCTTCAGTTCTGTAGTAAGTTGAGAATAATATATCATCATCACATCACAGGCTTATCATCGTCATCATCTTACCATCAACATCAAATAACCATATTCCTTATCACTAGTATCAACTTATTTACCCAATGGAAGCCCTACAGTCAAGATCGGTTTCCAATGGGAAACTGCACATTCAAACACACTCAAACACACCGAGTAGTTCGTACAATATAGATCTGAGTTTAGAGCAGAATTAGTGCTGTATGTATTAACATCAGTTTTATAGTACTTACAGTAAATTGTCCATTTCCTGTTGATACATATATCTGATATGAGACTTCTCCCCGTTTACTGGATTCTTAAATGATAAAATTTATAAAGGAAGTTTAATTTAACAAATTTTGAAGAATATTGTTGTCAAAGAAACCTAGGAATTGCATAGAATTATAATAGTAATACTAATACTATATAGATAGTAATGACAGTAATTAGTAGAATAACAATCCCAAATAATTCAGTTTTTCAATAATACAGGTCTCCCTCCAATTAAAGACCACTTTTGGGACCAGGGTTTCCATGATCTTTAGCAGCTTTGGCCTTTAATTAGAATAATAAAAATAAAAGACATTCGTTAATTTGGAACCACAGTAATGTGGTCTTTAATTAGAGGGGGCTTTAATTGGAGTGGTCTTTAATTGGAGGGGTGTTTAATGGTAATGGTGGGATATTTGTAGTGCGCCTTCCACAATAAAATCATCTCAAGGCGCCGAAGAAAAGGTAGGACCATAAATTATATAAAATAAAATTATATTTTCTTTTTTGCGCAAAACTGTTAAGTGATAATAACAACATATAATGGAGGGGTCTGTAATTGGAGGGGTCTTTAATGGACATTTCCGCTAAGCCGCGCCCCTTGGATATTGTTGCTAAGGTTCCACAGCGTAAAAACATATGCGAACACGTTTGTGGAACAACACGTGTGTTTGTGAGACATGCGTGTATTCCTGGCCTTGTCCTTATTGGTCAGCTTCAGGTTTGATGGACAATCCAGAAAGGTCCGGGAGGAGGCCTGTAGCATTAATAACAATCATATATATAATAAGCATAATAATCATAATTCTTATTTTTCCTCCTCCAAATTGGGAACCAGAAATTTAGGCTGGGGCCCCTGGGGACATGTAGCAGTGCAGTGCAGTGCCACTTGAATGAACTACAACATAATGGACACATACACATACGAACATTGTCCTTAATCCCATAACTCTCTCAAAATGAAGATTGTTCGAGGAGCCAAGTGATTAGACTCCAATTAAAACCTGATACTGGCTGGATTTGAACCAGAGTCTTACACTTACAGCACAAGAAGCTGGAACAATACCTCTTAGCAAAGGCCTACTGTAAACTATGAAGCATGTGTCAAGAGCGTTGTTTCGTTTGGTAAACAATAAAGCATTTAATAAATCTAGACTGATAACAATTACTTTAGTGTATTCATATTCACCTTTGCTTTCAATGGACATTCGAATGGCCAGGTATCTGGCGAGATGGTCTATGGTGGCGTTGCCAGTGGTCTTCAGGTACCGGCTGTTCCCTCGTTTCTCCTTCTTGTCCTCGGATTGGTAAGGTTTAAAAACTAATTCAATTTCCTATGCAAAAAATAATATAAAAACAAAATATTAGTTATGTTCTAAGCTTTGTAAAACATAACACACAATGCATGTTGGTTTGGTTATTTTGTTTGCTATTTTGCAAATTCATAACATTAACTTTCTTCTGACTAGTGTAGACCAATGCTTACCAATTTAAAATTTTATCCTATTTACCTACCAGTATCTGTCATTTGTCAATTGAGTGATCAAACCTACATTCATTCATAAATTATCATTATACAATATTATCAATTATGAATTAAATTATACAATATTGTGTATTTATTTATGTTTTTGTACTATATACATACGCCAATACAGTAGATTTTTTTTTTTCATTAATCTTTAAAATTACTTTCTTATTATTTTTTCATTTAATTTGATTTGTAGCTCACATCTCTTTAGTGGTCTTATAATATTATCATATTATTACTAAATAATAATATTAATAATAAAATAATATTATAATTATTTAGTAAAGGCAATTAGCAACCTGAACAGGTTCCACTGGTTCTTGTACTGGTTCTTGTTCAGTCTCTGTTGGTACATCTTGATAATCCTGATCATAATCCTCAGTAGCTGGTTCGTCTTCAACATTCTGCAAATCACACATCACCTCCACTGGTCGAGGACGTTCCTGATCAACAGAGGGCGGCCGCGAGGACTGTCGGGAGATCGGCCCAGAGGGCGGCACAACTGCAACAGCTTGGTAGTCACATGAAGCATCGTTGTCCGATTCTTCTGATGTCCTAGACCTCTTCTGTGGGGGCTGTATCTGGTCACCATCGACTGCTGGTGGTTGTAGGGTATCAAGAGGGATGTTGTTGACAGGATTTTGTTTCCTCTGTTAAGAAGTTAAGAAAAACATGCAGCATTCCTAAATATGGTCACGATGACATCAGATCATGACCTTATATAGGCACATCATGACTATATATGGGCACATCATGACTATATATGGGCACATCATGATTAT